TGCAGAGGGCGCCTTGGCGTGCCACTGCACCTCGGTCGGCCCGGCGTACAGCATGGGCGACGGGAAGATGGCCAGCACCGTGGACTGCGGGTCCAGCACGCCCTCCTCCAGGATCGCCTGCCGTGACCAGGATGGCGTGGGTCACAGGGTGAGCCGACTGCGCTGTTGGCTGGTGGCGCCCGGGAGGACGCGTCGTTACGTTCGTCACATGGATCCAGCATGCCCTCTTCGGGATTGGCTAACAGACGTGTCATCATTGCAGTTACCATAATTGTGCATGTATTCACCACTGTCATTACAAATGCGCAAAAACGTCACGCATCCGAAATAGAGTGGATTGGGACCGTACCTGGGTTCAATTGTTCGCTACAAAATGTCGTATGTATGTGCGTTTCCGTTTGAATGGCTGGGTCATTTATAGCCCAGCGGGGTCACCTGCAGACCGCTGGGTCAACACACCCTCCTATAGAACCATATCACCAAACAAACTTATCAACATACACACATGTAAAACGCATAAATAATCATGGAGCCAGAGGGCTTTTTGCCAGGGTCACAGGCCTTCGCACACAAGCGCAAGGAACGAGCGGCATTCTTCGTTAGGTAACGCGACGCACGTTGTCGCGCACACTTAAATTGAGCGCTAGCGACGGCAGAAGTCATATTAACACCCGCAGGTCATGGACAACGTGTGGACGAGTGAGAATCAACTAAGTACGGAGGGCACGCGAAAAACGAGGAAAATGTATAATTCGACAAGGGTTTCTGATGGAATCGTGAACTGACTGTCACTTGCGCGTCATGCACACATCTGCTGTAGACATGTGTATAAAAAGTTGCTTCATACCTTTTAGTCCAAGTACGAACAGTCTCTATAGCACCACACACACCCCGCCACCACATCACTGTCCACAGTCCCAACAAATCGCGTAAAACCGTCAACTGTACGTCATCACATCAGCTTAGGCGCGAATTAAAAATTCATCCCACAAGACGCCTCCTCAGGCGGTCCAGCGCACCGTCTTGTGAAAGAGCGGACACGAAAACGCTGTAGCTGATGCGGAATTCGCCAGGGCGGCACCGGCGCCCCCGAAGAACTCGGGCTTCAGTAGATGTCGCTGACATGAATGCCAGCTCCCAATCAGGGGCCCAAGATTACGGGTGTCTTCTCAATGCCGCCGACGTCGCTTATCACATCAAATACCACAAATTCTGTGCCGTGTGGTGTCCGCAGTAACCCGGACGAATATTTGCCAACAGCAAAGGACCCTTTTCCGCGACTCGACCGGCGCTAGACAAAATGGCGCAGCAATTAAATCGTGCACCGACCACGGGTGATAAAACAGTATTTTATGTGTCACAAAGAACATCATTTGCAATTTCCATTCAAAGGCAGTACTCGTAGTGCCTGCAGCCGAAATATTGTCGCCGCAAACGCAATTATTGTCATGACGGTTACCAACATGCAAACAGAAAAGGAGTCCCATTGCGAACTTTTACAACCGCTTCACGCGACCTCACGTAGAATAACATATTCTTGGCGCGCTGCGAATACAAGCTAAACCTTATCCCTAGAGATCGCATAATCCCGTTGCTAGTTCGCGTGCAGCGCCACTACAGCAACTCAAGCTTCTGCCCGCGTCCGACAGATGTTCCCTACGCCCCAGCTGACCGCGGCCCTCACCTGGTGCTGCTCGATCCGGGTGGCCAGCGGGACGTCGTCCTCCTTGGTCCAGCCGCCGAGCGGATGCAGCAGCAGCACGGGCTTCTTGTACCCCCGCTCCAACAGGCGACGCTTGGTGTCCTGGTGGCACCGCGCAGAGCTTGAGAACAATTCCACTCGCGACACCACGGAAAGCTTGAGAACAATTCTACTCGCGACACAACGGTAAACTTGAGAGCATTTCCACTCGCGACACCACGGAAAGCTTGAGAACAATTCTACTCGCGACACAACCGAAAACTTGAGAACAATTCTACTCGCGACACCACGGAAAACTTAGCGAATCTCGACGGATTGCAAACTCGTACGAGCCTCGTTGGTTATACAGCATGATGCTTCCATCTAGCAGAGTTGTCCCCGCGAAAGTGCAGTAGTCCAGTAGCCCAGACTAAGTCACCCCATAAATCAAGCTGTTAACTGACAATATGCAAACTGATACCACATTTCATTCATACAAACACATGTTGTTGATAACAATGTGTATTCTTAAGAGCATGTTTCATTTTGGAAGTTTCATGATTTGAAGTTATATATCTGATGTCACCAACAGACATTTCAACACACTTCGACGCCCAAGGTATACACATTTCAGTTCGGGGACTCCTGCGATCGCCGGTAGTCTTAACAAGCGCCGGTCTTACCTGCATGAGCAGCGCGTGACCGTTGTGGATGGGATTCCTCAGCTGGAAGGCGAACACGGCGTCGGCCTCGAGCTCACGGAACCTGCGCAGGAGGGAGGGAGAGGGGGGGGGGGGGGCGGTCAGCGGGGTGCGGTCAACTCGGACCTGCGTACGGCCGATGTACGACAGCCAAGATAGAGAACTCAGGACCTGCTCTTAGTCGCATCACTTCGTGCGGGTGGCATCTGCGGAGCATTGCAAGGACTGGAGCTTGCGGGATGCAAGGGTGTAAGTCTTAGAAATAACACTCCTTGTGGATGACTACTAAAGCACAGTCACCACGGTTGAATGGTTGAGCGATCGCATGGAATGGTCCATGGTTTCGAACTGGAATGATTCGCTTCCACTAATCATGTTGCGTGTGTGGTAAAATTTACGGAGAACTGCAAAGATCACTTAAGTCGCTCCACACTTACTAAAAACGAGGACGTGAATGTTTCCCACAGTGGAAATCGAACCCCACAGCTATCGATCATTACCCGACGCCGTCACCACCTGCCTAGTGAATGCCAGCCGGGTGTGACCGTACCTTGCCCGCAGCTCGATGGGCGTCAGGCGGTACTGGTCCAATCCGTCGTTCCAGCGAATACGCTCCAGAACCTCAAGGTCGCCGCCACACAGCCAGTCGCCCGACTCCATCACCATCTGGTGGCGGCCGCAGACACTTAAGGTTTGAAATGTGTCCCCTCAGCTGGTGCTGAATTGGACGGCGCTGTGCGGTATGCAGATGGCCAGAGGGGGGGGGGGGGGGGAGGGGAGGGCAAAGGTGCCAATATGCCGGATATATGGCGGCAGCTGAGTGAGTCATAACGGCCCAATGGCGACAATGCTTTGCAAGAACAGTATTGTCTTCTTGTGCGCCAAGTGAAGCAGCCGAAATGACCGAGTCGTTACAAAGGCCAACATAGAGATCCACATGGGAACTGCACATTGCGAGTTGGAAGGTCCCATTCCGACAAAACGAGAGGGAACGAAACTACACCTTCGACGTAGAGATGAACGACCCATAATCCATGTGGACAAATACATGTCTTACGTCACAAGTACATAATGCGACATAATCTAATATAGTGTGATAGTTGGTCACCTTATTGGCCGCGAGCCAAGCCTCTCAGCCAGCTTGATGCGGCGACATCACCGGCCGCCGCCGCCTACCTTGACGTAGGGGTGGCCGGGGTTGGTGGTGCCCCACTGTCTGCCGCAGCGCTCCTCCTTCCTGTGCTCGAAGAACTCGGGCTTCCTCACGATGGCCACCGGACGGCCGTCGTACCTGCGGAGGGTACACGTTATAGAGGGCGA